TGTGAGCAGGAACTACATAAATGGATTCGCGTGACTCTATTTTCTAAAGGAAGACTCATCTTCCCGACAAACGGCGACGAGTATGTCCTCAAAGGCTCGAAGCTCCTGTCCGCCGAATTCCCAGAAACAAACGAGCAGCCGCGCGGGGAACACAACCATCCCGCAGACCAACGTGACGTTCCACATTGACGCCAATGGTATCCCGAACGTAACAGAGGAGGACAAAACAACGGGCGTGAAGAATAAGATAACGATCACGAACCACAAGGGAAGGCTGGGCAAGGAGGATATTGAAGGCAGTTGAGTGGCAGGACTGGAACCAATTGGCAGAGGTGAACGAGCTGGAGGATAACTGAAGGAGCTGAAGGGATAATGAGAATCTGACGGTCGATTGTTCAACCACCAGTCAGGACTACGTTGGCCTCAAAATCACGGTCGATGGTGGTTGTACTCATCGTTAGGATCCAAGGGCTGAAGTTGGTGACTTTTGAGGGAGACGTATCGTCGAGATTAAGGTCTTGAAGCTGGAGGATAATTTCGTGTATCAGATTGATGTATATAGGAAAATTTGAGGGGAATGGAAGCCAATTAGTAGTGTCTTAGATATGAGTTTGTTGCCTTTTTTTTTTTTTTTTTTTNGATGTATTATTGCAGTTGAAGATTAAGTTTATACCTGATTACATGCCCAATGGTTTATATGAAAGGCTATTTGTGTTGAAATATATGTTTGAACTCATTTTTTATGCAAGAATGATATAATGTTTTCTAACAGAAGTATACTTTCAGTTCACATTTTCATTGCTCATTGCAGAGGTAAAGGAGTTAGTGTGATGAATAAGTCGTATTGCATGATCCTCCCCATTGGTTTCATATCCAACCCTGTGCAAAGTGAAAGCGATTGCATAGAAAAGAAGCAACCCAAAAGAAATGTGTAGTGTAACCCTTGAGCATAAAATCCAAAATAGTTGTATATGTTATCCATACAATCAATTAGTCTGGGACATCACACTGGATCATCAACTACAACTCAACTACAACCATTTCAGAATGTATTTCAGATAGACAATGTGAACCAAAAGCAACCCTTATCAAACTACTTAATAGAAAAATAAAGTGCCACAATTTTGTCTAGGATCAACCATTTTGCTAGTCTAGGTATGGATGATGGTCACCCATCGGCGACTTTGACGTTTTGTCCACCTCATATGTTGCGAGCGTATTAACTCCCCAATTAGGAACAAAAGAGGGTATAAATAATTTCTGTGAGTATGACATTGGAGCTAAGGTGGGAAGATTAGCATGCACCATTGGTTGAATATATGTGGCACTTTCATGTGATTTAGAGGATGTCGCATTTTTTTGTTTTGACGAGACCTACATATATAAGATTAATAAATTAAAATATATAAAAAGATAATCTAACATTACTAAATATAAATTTAATTTACCTTTAATTTTTAGAAATCTTTTCCAGTGCCTCTTTTTGACGTAATTTTCGAGGAGCCCCTTTTCTTTTCACGTGGTTTGGATAAAAAATTTTGGGTCCCAAAGTTTTATCCGCTCCTCCCTTAACTGAATCTACCAATATGCTTTGGTTCAAATTAGATTTTCCTTTACTTTTTTGATCGATATTAATTGAATCCAAATCATTAGATACAGCTCCAATCCACTCTATAAGCTTACCTGCTCTCATATCATCATTCGCCACCTTGTCAGCCACCGCTGCAAAAGCACGACACAAATGATCATATCGTAATTGATCAGGTGTCCAACCATCATAATTGATCTTCACCCTTTGGTATGACCTACACACATCTCTCCTTCACCTCCTCAATATATACATGTCAGGAACGGACGTCACATCATTGCGAATCAAAACTGTGATAGCATGTTTGCAAATTATCCCTCGAGACTCAAATAAATGACAACTACAAGCAAAGTTTCCCGATTCCTTTAGAGTTTCAACAATGTAGATTTTTTTATATTTTTTTCCATTGCAAATAACATCCTCCTGAACCATGTGTTTATGTCCCCGAAAAAATTTCTCAGATCCATCCTCATTGGATATAATATCACAGTACACCATACCTGTGAATTGAGATTGAAATTCCTTGAACTTACTGATGGTGTAAATAGCTTGGAATTGTTTTTCTAATTCATACATAGTAGCACATAGAACTATCGCCGAATACGACTTATAATCAGCTTGAATCTCCTTCTCCACTTTACTACGTAGTGCCCTCTCGTATTGTTCAACAAATTGCTTCAATGTTGTTTTTGCATTGACATATCCATCAAAAAATGCGTTAATACTCTCACTACGTTGTGTTGTCGACATCCCTGCCCAAAAACTCGTCTTCAAAAAACACGGAACCCAACGACTTCTTTCACTATAGAGGCTAAACAGCCACTCATTCTCTTGTAGTTCATACGAGTGAACCATATCAACCCAACCCTACTCAAATTCTTCTGGACATTGAGATTCATAAACCACTTCATGAATTGTCGACATGATAACACCTTTGTGCGGATGACCACCAAATTTCTCAGGAAACTTTTTTAATATATGCCACAAACACCATCTGTGTCTCGTGTTTGGAAAAACTGTTTGGATTGCATTCTTCATTGCCCTATCTTGGTCAGTTATTATTCCGATGGGAGCATGTCCCTCCATGCACTCAAGCCATGTTTTAAAAAGCCATACGAAAGTGTCTGTGTCCTCGCTCGATATTAAGCCACATCCAAACAACGTAGAATGACCATGATGGTTAACACCTACGAAAGGGGCAAATGGCATCTCATACTTATTTGTTAGGTACATTGTATCGAACGCTACTACATCGCGGAACTCTTTATATGCTTCTCCACACCTATTATCAGCCCAAAATATGTTTTTCAACCGAAACTCCTCGTCCAAGTCAATGCTAAAGTAAAAACCCAGACAATTAGCCTGCATTTTAGAAAAGTAAGATTGAATTGCAGCTGCATCCTCTTCTCCGAGTCTCAAACGCTGAACCTTAGCAATATAATTTCGACAGTCCTCCTCAATAAATGACATCTTTTCGTACCCACCAACCTCTACAACACCAGAATTAAAACTTTTATGCAAAGGTATTCCAACTACGTCATTCACCTCAAGTCGTCGTTTAATAATTGCGCTTAACTGTTGATGACAACGATATAATCTTGATTTGGAGGGACTTATAGCATGATTATGCTCGAGATGGACACCTGAAATTTTCCATGTCCCTGTAATATCCGAACAAGCTGTCAACCGAGCTTCACACCCATTTTTAATGGTGAATTGTGGTTTGAAAGAAGCAGTTAATTTAACTCTTTGCCCTTCTCGACTACAAGTAAACGTTGCATTTTCTATGATACCGTATTCGTCTTTCTTGGAACTTCACTTTCTAATTGGAAAACCCACACGAGCGGCTTACTTTTTGTAAAATTTAAACACATTGTCGTAATTTTCGAACTTCATTCAAACCACTGGCACATATTTTTCATCTTCATCTTCATTGGGCAATCCAACGTGCGATTCAGTAACATCCCTTGTAACTATCTCATTACCTTCCACACACTCATTCTCCACTAATGTGCAATTGAGCTCAGAAACTTGATTTCTTACATGATGAATATTATTATTAGATAAAAAAATTCTAATAAATCTGAAAAAAAAAAAAAAATCATCGAATAAATAAAAAAAACAATCAATTACCAAAAAATAATCTAGAAAAATAAAACTATGAATGGAATAAAACAAAAAAAATAATCAATCAATTACCAAAAAATCTGAAAAAAAACCATGAATGATATTTTACCTGTGTCATTTGTAGTCATATTTCTCATTTGTAGTCATATTTCTCCACAATAAAAAAAGTACCACGCAGGGATTTGTAGCATGAAATTGTATAGATTATTTTGGATTGATTATTTTCGACAACTGGATTTGTTTCTCTCTCGACCTAGGTTTTTTTTGCCTGAATTCTGATCGCACATTTTTTGCTTCTCTCTCGTGTTACAGAGAGTGTTCTATTATTTTTTTTTTTTTTGTGCATTAAGAATTTAATAATAAAGTAAGTAAGTGTTGTCCACGTAGGCATTTGTCAACCAAGATGTAAAACTAGATGTCTTAGTAGCATTATTGAATGATAAAAATAGTAAGGTTGTTCATTCGATCGAAATCGAATCGAACAAATTGAATTTTCAGTCTGTCTATTATAAGAATCGAAAGTCGAATTGAAATATATGATTTGGTTCGATTTTTAACTGAAGATCCATCGATTGGTTAATCACAAAATAATTAATCTTCTCAATAAATTACGGATTTTTAAATGAACTAAAAATTTAATTATTTATCCGAACAAAAAAAAATTAATTTGTTATCATCTTGTTTAAGCTTCTGAATGAAATCCAAATTCTCCTCTAAGGAAGATCTCACACCCGAACTATGACTTGGGCTATGGCGAGGCCAATCTTGAGTTTAAATTAATGCTTGAGCCACTTTAAGGGTAAATGAAACTTGAAAATCATCAATATATCATTGAAGCAAATTAATTCTTTTATAACCTGTATGTATAAATAACCTGATTATCATGACCAGCGAGAGCCTACGCCTCCACCCCAGCCCCTAGTCAGGAAAGGCAACCGGAGACCCGACCAAACCTCTCTCTTAGCACTCAGGTGGAATGAGAGGGGAACCGCCATCATTGGCCCCGCCATGGCCGAAAAGAGAGCGCACGACGGGCGGCCGAGTTGGGGGGAGGGGGGAGAGATTGAAAACAAGAGAGAACACCTATTATGGGAGGGAAAAGGATTAAAGAAAGTGAGAAAGGGAAAATAGAATAATTGGGGGTTGCGCATTAGAAAGGCAAAATAGTTCTTATTTTTACAATTATTTATGCACTATTTTACTTAAAGAAGTGAAATATGAGGACGTATTCAATTGAAATTTCTAAAGACTTTTTAAAACTTCAGAAATTTTGGTGTATTTAATTTACACTTTTCAAGACTTTTAAAAGTCTTAAAATTTTACAGGGTTCCTCTATTCGAAAAAAGTCTTCAATCTCAAAAAGTATTTAAATGTCACTCGAAATCTCAAAAGAATAACTTCAAATGAAAATAATAGACATCATTTTTTTTTAATTATAATAAAATTAAAAGATGAATTACAATCGTAGATAAACTGATCCAACAATCTTCCCACACACAACATGACTAAGAGTTAAACAACTTGAAGGCTGCGTCATCTCAAAGCCTAATAATATGAAAAAAATAAACAAAATTACAAACTAAAAATACGAACTTAGGCGGTGATTGTTTATAAAATTTTTGATTTAGCTTGAATTTATTTGATAAAATGAGTTAATTATAAAAAAGAGTTGATGATGTGAAGATTTTGAATTTGTATTTAATTAATATTTAAAATATAATAATTAAAATTGATTGTGATGTAAAAAAAATAGGAAAGATGTTATCATAAGTTATATCTAGTTAAAATTATGTGATTGAATGAATAATTAATTAAAATTGATCGTGATGTGTGATGATGATTGATTGATAATATTTAATTATATTAATAATAATAATAATAATAATATTATAATTTGAATTGAATTTTGAGTTAAAAATTAAAAAAAAAAATTATACAACAAGAAATAGCTGGTTATTTGTATAATCATTTGCAACGTCCTAAACCACTCTCAAATTAAAAAGACTGAACAAACAACTTAAAAAAATATAAACTAAATATAATATACCTAACTACTCTCAATATACTGATATAGAAGACCAAATAATTCCAAATTGAGGGACTAATGGCTGAGACTAGGCAACATAGAAAAAGGCTTTTCCAATAGCTTCAATGATCACAGTTGGTCACCCACTCTCAAGAAGAGGACGACAACTAGGAGTCCTCTCAAACAACGTCACAATTGGAGATTTGCGCTAGAATGAAGATAATTTTCTCTCAAATGCAGCGCCACACTCTAGTACTATTCTGCATATATAAATAGAGTGTCGCTGCATTTGGCGCAACGCTGTAGCTTACTCTACATTTTTTTCGTTTAATGTATTATTAGTAAATGTATTTATTATGTTAAATAATTTTGCGCTTTTTTATTAATATATTATAAATTTATTTTGCTATTTTTTTTTTTGCATTTTTGTTTAATGTATTTTAATGTAATATTATTGATAAATTTATGTATTATGTATATTAGTAAATGTATTTATTATGTTAATGCTTTTTATTTATTGAAATATTATAATTTTATTTTGTAGTTTTTTTTATAATTTGTACTGCTATTGTTTGAATTTATGAAGTCTGATGTTGTTATACCTAAACATATTTTTGTTATTTGAGTAACAAAAATTTATATAAGATTAAATATATATATACACTACAATTTATTAAATAAAAAATGAATAAAAAAATAATATATTTAATGTAGAGTAAAATGTAGCGCGAAAGAATAGAGATGAAACTTGAATTTTGACTTACTCTACTCTAGACTTTAGAGTAGAATAAACTCTACTATGGAGTAGAGCAAAGGGTTGAAGATGCTCTAAGGTCCATAGATTTGAGAATTGAACTTAAAATTTTGAGAATGACCAACAAATAAGTAAATTTCGAAAAGAAAGGGCTACATCTGATCTCAAAGAATAAGAGGATTAAAGGAGACTAAGAAGAATGCCAAACCTCAAATACAACCTGGGAAAATTTCCCAACCCGTGGCCGGAAGATAAGGCAAGAGATAAGGCCAAATAAAGAAGGAGGAGGGACAAAGAATGAAATTTAATTTTATGACCTGCTGAGAATGTTTTGTAAAAAGGGAAATGAAAATAATGTAACTTGAAAATATAATCAATAGTTAATTGAAAAAAAAAGAGAGCACGGGTCAAATTTAAGTTTAGTCAATTTTACAGATTAATTGAATGAATATATTGTAGGACGTACCGACCTGTGGTTGTCCTCTTAGACTTATGACCTGCGAGTGAGGAGCCGTGCATGTGGCTGCCCACTACGCTTTTGTAGGCCGTCTGTCGGTCGTTCGAACACCAGTTTTGATCTATAAATTTACTTTTACCGATCAATAAAAAAAAAGATAGTGTGTATCTGTTTATTCATTTTGTTTATATATACTAGTTTTATCCTGTGTATTTGCACGAAAAACGATATAATAGAATAAAAAATAATTAAAAATATAGAATTAAATAAAAATCATTACATAATAAATGAGAAAAAAACTTTAAAAAGTGAATCTAAATATTATTAAACAGTTCTTCATATACAACATTCGTGGTTTTTTCTATCGTCAGAATTTCCATCACAACAAATCATGATCGTGAAACTCCTTCGACTCGTGACTCTAGGATTTGATTTTTTAAAATATTTGATGTATCTTTGTAATATCCGAAAAAATATTTTTTATTATTGTATGACTGCAATAGAAAATAGAGATATTTGTAGTCATTCTTAATTAATTGTGAAATATGTATTTATATAGTACCAAAAAATATATAGTATCAAAATAAAAACAAAAATATTTTGTATTTCAGGACATAAAAGGCATTATAGAAATGGTGAACATATTTTTATTAAATGAACACCTATTTTTATTAATTGAACTCATATTATTATCAATTGCTGGCTGAATAAAATTTATTGAAGCTTGCTAACAGTTATATATGTATAGATTATATTTTTTCATTTGACAGTGCAGAAAACGCCGAGTATGTGTGACTAGTCACGTGTGTTATGCTACTTCAAGCTCAAATTTGGAGGCAATCTTAAACATCTAAACATGTGTAAATGAGTCGAGCCGAGCTCGAGCTCATTCTGCTCGAGCTTGAAGCTCGAATCCTTAACGAGTTTACAATCGAGCACGAGCTCGGCTCGTTTATTAATGTTAACGAGTCGACCTCGAGCCTTAGCGAGGTAAAATCGAGCTGAACTATCTTTTTGAGCCCTATCGAGCCGAGTCGAGCTATCGAACTCGTTAACTGAATGAATTTTAAATGAGTTTGAGCTCGAACCTTAACGCGTCCAGCCGAGCCGAGCCGAGCCGATATCACGAACAACTCGTTTAACTTAACAGCTTTAGACTCAGCAGTTTGATTCCGTCAAATGCCCATTTTCATCCGACTTGCTTGTATTGGTCCAAATTCCATATCAAGGAGACGTATTTTTCAGTGGGTGTAATAGAATTGCTTGAGTAATTATGACTAATTATTTGAATAAAAAATATTGAAATTATTATTATAACAGTTTATGAAATTTTAAGTAGTTTAGTTATATCAAAAAAATAATTAACCATTTTTTTTAAAATCCTTTATGAGCTTCAAAAAATATAATAACAATTTAAAAAAAAATCCAATAGAATTTAAAAAAAAATTCCAATATAAAGTGGGCACCGTTTCTACTTTTTAAGTAGAGCCCATTGGCTTGTTTTGAGGGAAGGTAGTAGTAAGAGGAAAAATCTTGGTCGAATCAATCTAGACGGATGTGCGAGAGGATGAGATAGGTAGTTATGAAGCAGATGGGAGACCGAACCATTTCGATATCTCGAGCAGTTCGTCACAAAGGGGAAAACGGATGTCGAGATCGAATTGAATACGGAAAAAGGTATAAAAATCTTCGGGGGGATGGTCGAAGGTGTCGTTAGG